GCATATAATAAAATGACTGTTGTTCTTTGGGGTTGTGTGCAAGAAATGCAAAAAGAGATAACGCATTTGAAGAGCGAAATAACGAAATTAAAAAATAAGTCTAATTAATATAAATGATTAAGTTATTTGATGATAAAATTAAAAAGAAGATAAATATTCAAGTTTTTAGTTTAACTAAAAATATACAAAAGAATTATTAATAAAATATTTTAGTTTTTATAATTGGAGAGAAATAGCAAAGATTAAAGTTAAGACAGAAGAAATATTGCAAGAATTAGGAATAATATAAATAATATATATGGGTAGTAGAATATCAAAAGGTCATAATGAAAACGATTGTATTAATCAAATAAATAATATTAACGAAGAGGAATTAGATTTAAGTAATATTGATAAATTACAGATTAAAGCATTAAAGGAAATAATAAAAGATATTAAAGAGGTAAAGGAAAAGAAGGGTGATAAAATATATTATCGTTTGCCTCCGGTCAATCTTTGCAATTATTCAATTATTTAATAATATTATTCATTAATAATATTATTAATCAATAACTAATTTAGCATCAAACCTTTTATAAAACATATCATTTACGTCTGCTTTCATCAAGTTAATGAATAAAAAACTATACGGTTCTTCTGTAGCTATGTTATAAACCTCTAAAAATAGTTTCTTCGCTTCTGCTAAATTTTTAGTATCTGCTACAGAAGATTTTTTAACTAAGACGGCACTCAATTCTTCGACCATTGTTTCTATTTCTTTGTAATTCCTTAATCTGAAGAAGAATAACTGACGACTATTAACGCGAATGATTGGAGACAAAGCGTTAAATTTTTGTGTGGATGTAATAATGTTAATTGCATTATGTCGTCCCCTTACATATAATTGGTTTAATAAAGGCGAGTTTCTCGAAAAAGCTTTTGAATCCGCGAAATCATCAACGATAATTAATATCGAATGTAATTTATTGTGATTATTCTTCTTTTGATATTCTATAATTTTATGTTGTTTGTGTATAACTTCCTCTAATTCCGATGGGTTGTATTCATCAAAGAAAACCTTTGCTTTTTCTAAATCCACCTTGAATTCGTTTTGAATATATCTTTTAACAGGAAGCCAATTAGCATCAACACTAATTGAAGGCGACCATACATATATTCTCGCGAAGACGTCCTTATAAATGTCTAATATCATTGACTGTAATAATATACCCTTACCGCTCCCAGAAGGACCGGTCATTATTTGACTAAAAGGTAGTCTCGGTGCTACTTCATATTTAGATTGTTTGAATTCGTATTCTTTGACATTGACAGGCTTAACTATTGGAATGTTTGACATTATTAATAATACATAGAAAATTATATCGTTATTTAATATTTTGATAAGTATTAAAGGCTTGTTTTTATTATAATATGACAGGGCTAATAAGCTGTTTTGGAAGAGTGTCCCATTGCGCCCATGTCTCACATTGGATGGGCTCACGAAAGGGAAGTAGTGATGGAACATTCAATAGCATCTCATAAGCAGATGTTTAATTAGTTTGATTAAATGTTGAGGAACTCATATCCCCCATTGCGTTTAATAATAATAAACTGTTATTATTATTAATATGAATAATATAGTAGAATTTAAAGTAACCAATAAACCAAACGAAGGTTACAATCAAGACATCGGATTTTGTAAATACTGCCGTCGTTATGTTCCCAAATCTTATTTTATTGGTTGTTACGGTAAAGAATGTATAACATGCGTTAAGTGTCGGAAAAAATTTAACATATTATTCATATGGGAAAGCTTCTAAACATTTACCAGAACAAAATCTCAATAGCAAAAGTGGCTGAAAAATGCGACTATTATGTTACGGGGACTGATTTAGATTGTTGGTCAAGTTTAGGATGGGAACAAAGATTATTAAAGTATGAACCCGAATCATTTAAATTCATTTGGGCACAGATTGACTTAAGAAAACCGCAGAACGAAGCACAAATTAAATATATCATTGAGCATTTGAAACCGAAAGGGTGGTGTATTCAACATGTAAAAGAGCCTTTGAGCGATGCCGATATTGAGGAGATTATCCGCATTTAAAGGGTAGAATACGTAATAACGTATATGACAGAGGGTAAGGTGAGCATGGATGAGATTTATAACATGGTTATCGAAAACCATAATATGACACAGTTAAAAATTAGTGAGATTTTAGGTATTGTTCAACAGTTAGTTAAGGATAATGTTAAGAAACCAAGCACGTATGAGAAAAGCACAACGACAACACCAGTTGATAAAGGCGATAAAAACGATTGGAGTAAGAAAAGGAAAACTTACATGGAAAGACTGAATAAGGGCGAAATCAAAGTCCCAAAGGAAGACACATTAAAATATTACGATATTGAATTTAACAAAGAACAAGAAAAGTATCAATTTAAAACACCCGCTAAAAGCGAGGAATGAGATGTGATTTAATATTACTTGATAATATTAAAACTCATCTACGATAATCTATTTTGCATGTGAATATGATATGAAAATTTATTTAATTTGTAAATGGCGATTGGTTCTTCAAGTTCGCCGAGGGCGGTTTTAAATACAAACCAATTATCTTCATCTTCGTTTTCGATGGGTATGTATGTCCTTAAATACCATTCGGTATAATGCGATAATCCAGTTATTATATTTTTTATGACCTTACTCCGTATATCTTTACACACTTCATCATATACAATATATTTAAATATTACTTTGCATGGGTGGTCTCTATACAGTTCGGGGTTATCAATTGTAAATATACATTCGCCCAATGAGAATAGGGGATGAACACGTATAGGTTTAGGATTTCTTATTTTAGCAGAAGGATTTATTAAAGGCTGTGTTGTTGTTTGTCGGGTGGATATATAACTTCCCATGATTAAGGATATAACATAACATACCTTTAAACGTGTATTTATCATGGCACAAAACGGCTTAAAGGTATAACACGTTAGTATATTAGTATATAGGGATGAGTGACGACGAGTTTGAATGTTGCGTTATATGTAAGTATCACGAAGAGAACCTTAGAAGAATATTTAACATGTTTCCAGATAACATCATTGAAAACGTAAGCATGTTTAACGGTTGTAAAAAATGTGACAAAATGAGAGAGTATGATGAAACCATAAATGAAATAATGGAGATAAAGAAACGCAAAGGCAAAAGAGGCAAGATGAATATGACGGAAAGATGTGACCGCCTATTTAAATTGGACGCCAAAACAATTAGGCTCGAACGCGAAATAGAAGAAATAGCGGACGAATATCATTTCTTGAATTGGTGAGTAAAAATGTAGTTTAATATTATTATAATATAATATTAAATTTCATTAAAGGCACCTTGCCCCAGTATAAGGCATATTGTTATTCTTGGGTTTTGGGCTTGGGTTTTTGGGCTGAAGAATAACGGGGATTTGTGGGGGAAGGTGTTTTTTCTTGGTTTTGGGCTTGGGATTTTGGGCTAAGGAATAACGGGGATTTTTTGGCTTGGGATTTACGGGTTGATATTTGGCTTACGGGTATAACTTGGGATTTTGGGCTAAGGATTTCGGGAATATGGTTTCGGGATTTTTTGGCTTGGATTTTGGGCTAAGGATTTCGGGAATATGGTTTCGTGGATTTTGGGCGCCGAGTTGGCGAAATGGTTCCATAAATTTTTGGGGCAAGGTGTCGGCTAACTGGGGTGGGGGATCTTTTTGCCCAACCAAGGTTCCTTAGCTAATTGCTGCACAGCTGATTTGTTTTTTGGAATACCATATTGATTTTTAATACGGGAGAAATATGAGCGAAGGCCGCATGAAATCTTTGGCTTTCTTCTCCTCAGCATGTTCATAGCAGATGTGAACGCAAGAAAATATCGTAAACATAAGGGAGCAAAAGAGCTCATCTTCACTCTCTTCGGGGCCCGGGAGTTTCAGTAGCTGTCCGTTCAGTCCGCGGTCCTTAGTCATTTGAAGGCTTGCCCGAAGTGAGTGGAATCGAGCGACGAGAGCCTGCGGAACGTGCACAAAGACTCACCGGTCACACATGGTCACGCTGAACTCCGGGAGCCGTTCAGCGAGTCCCATCCGAGTTCTTCCATCCCGAAAGTCTAAGCAAGGCGCAGCTGAAAAGCCGCACGGGGTTCTCATTTCAAGCCTAACCCCCTCGACCCATCTGAGCCTTTTATGCGGCGCCCAAAACTCTGAAATGCTAAGTTTAAAAAAGGGGCGCAGGTGTCAGTGAAAGAGCGGGGGAGAAGTTGCGTCTCCTTAACGTTGTGACATGATGTGACAGTGGATTTATTGAAGTACAGGGCCTTTCACTTCTGTAGGAGTTCAAAGGAGACATAAGGTACAGGTATACCCTGACTTCCCTTACCACGGAAGCTTGCAAGTGAACATAGGATTTTGTGTAGTGTTCATCAAAAAGTTCCTTGTAATATCATGCATGACTTTCCTTGTATTCACTTCTCGAATTCAGTGGCCTTAAAGACGCATGTCAGAAGAAGCGTTCCGGGAACGGCCTGAAAGTGTCACAGCTCGGAAAAAAGCTGGGGAGAGGTTCTGGAAGTCTCGGGGATTGAGAGTCGGCTGATTCTGGGAGCAGGGTTCGGAAAGCAATCCCCGCACTCTTCGGAGAGCTGAGAGCGTGGTGGAGGCGGTTGAGGGTTTTGAACGTCCCCGGCTTCGAGTGACGAAGGGAAACAAAGGGAGAGGAAGATCTGCAATGAACGTCGCGTGCTCCAGGGTGTCTGCAGGGTAGGGGGATTTTAGAACCTGTTGGAGAGGCCATAAAGCCACCAAAGGCAGCCTCAGCTTCAGAAAGCTTCAGAATTGCTTTCTTCGAGTCGGGTTCGGGATCCCCGTCCCCTTTCTGAAGGCCCCAGTTCAGAGGCCTTCCAAAAGCCCAACGACAGCTTCAGCTTCGGAATGGCCCCGTTCAGGATCCTGCCCCCCAAAAGCAAGCCGAACTCCTTCCAACCCCCTCGCAAGGCACGGAAGGCTGCGAGCGCTTGGCCGGCGAACTGGGCCGCCTCACGCAGCTCCGAGAGCTCAGCCTGGAGCTGTCATGGAACGACGTCGGCCCGGGGACTCGGAGCGCTTTGTGTCCAGCCAGGCTACTGAGGGCCTCGTACCAAAAGTCCAGGGAATGGAACAGGCCCGGGCTTTTTGGTGTGAAAGCTTCCATGCTGAACGCTTCGAGAAGGTTTCAACTTCCAGCGTAATCACTCGGAGTCGGCGTCAGCGGGTTCGGCTTTTGAAGCCAAAGAGCTGTGAGCACAAGTCGTTGCAGACGATATTGTTTCAGTGGCCGGCTCCATGTAATCCTCTTTCGTTCCGTTTGCTTCATCCATGCAATTTGGTCAGCTCCATCCATGTGATCTCCTCCTCCGTTCCGTTTAGTGTTACCATTCTGTTTTTTGGACCTTTGGCCTCCTGCTTCGAGTTTGGGGTGTCGGAGAAGGGCTCCAGCATTTGGGATTTGGCTACCAAGAAGGCCTGGGCTCCCGAATTCCCAACTCGAGTTCTGAAGTTCCCAGCCTAGGGGGCCTTCCAACTGGCTTTGTTCCAGTGTTCAGGATTCCGCCCCCACAAGCAGGGCGGCTTCCGCTGCCTTGAGTGGAAGACTTCACCTTACCACCGCCTCCCAAGGCGACACCGGCTGCCAGCACGTGGCCGGCGCCCTCGGCCGCCTCGTGCAGCTCGAGAAGCTGAGCGTGAACCTGAAAAGTAACAGTATCGGCCCGGGGACCCAGGGCGCTTTCGGCCATGGTGGAGTGGACTTGTGCTCCCACCCACCTAGGCAAGGCATGGCAAGGCCAACGCTTGCTCTACTAGTCTCGAAACTGAAAACTTCGCACGACCTGTTGTTCTTAAATTCATGGGCACACAGGAGGTCTGGGGTTCACACATGTGATCTGGAAACATGAATATGTGCTCATAAACAGTTTCTCTGGAAACCTTTGAGTTTTGCATGTATTTGTTGTTGTTTTTCACTTGCCTTCGTGGAAATCCTCTTTTCTCCTGATTTCCATGCTCCCCATAAAATTTTCAGTATGTGGTCCAGGAAAGTTTCGCTCGACCTGCGACGGCACACCGGAGGTCTGGAAGGTCTGGATTTCCTTTGTTCGTAGGCTGGGCATGGTCAAGGGGCCCAGACACTGTGAGAGTAGCCGCGGGGTCATCTTTTCCTCCGGTGAGTGTTGAATCCGATCCTGGGATTTTGGGGGGGGCGATCGGGAAAAAGGTCGGGCAGCTGACTCGGGGGCAAAAGGCACCTTTCATGTACTCTTGAGAAGTTCCAGAGGCGCTGGGATGAGAGGTGGCCGATTCAGGAAGCAGGACGCAGCCACCGGGAGCACAGGGAGCACAGGGAGCACCGGGAGCATCGCAAGCCCCCCTGACGCCTAGATGTCCAACAAAATAGCTTTGGTTCTCATGTGTTCTCATTGCAGGGTGTGTGAGGTTTGTAATTGAGGAGCCTTTACTGAAGCATGCTGGAGAAGAAGCGTTCCGGGAACGGCCAGAACATGTCGCAGCTCGGACAAAAAAAACGATCGAGAGGCGGCCGATTCGGAGAGCGGGCTTTGAACAGCAATCCCCCGCTCTTGTCGGAGAGTTCAGAGCTCGAAGCGCAAGGCTGCTTGACGCGGTTCGAGGGCCAAGTCCAGTTTTGAACGTCCCTGGCTCCAAGTGTGTTTTGGGACAGGGCGTAGGATCTGCAGCGAACCGCTCGGAAATGTCGGCTCCCAAGGGCAGCCTTCAGCTTCAGAATGGCAGTCGAGTCGGGTTCAGGATCCTGCGCCCCCAAGAAGTGGGGGCGAAGTCCACTGCCTTGAAACATCTTGAGACCGAAGACTTCCTCCTCCCACCGAGGCAAGGAAGGGGTTCTCATTGACTCAGTGGGCATGCGCTGGCATGTACAGTTCGTATAAGCTTTCCCACACCCCTAAATCAACCACATGGAGCACAGGGAAAACAGGGAACACAGGGAGCACAGGGAGCTAGAACCGACAAGGGCCCATGACGCCTGGGTGTCTACAAACAGCTTTGGTTCTCACGCCTTTTCGGAGAGCTGAGAGCTCGAAGTCTCGGCAGGCTTGCCAGATAGCCTCCAAGGGCAGCTTCAGCTTAAGAATGGCTTTCTACGAGTTGGGTTCGGGATTCCTGAACTCCACCTGCCTTGAGACATCTTGAGACCGAAGACTTCCTCCCACCGAGGCAAGGAAGGCTCCGAGCACCTGGCCAGCGCACTGGGCCGGCTCACGCAGCTCCGAGAGCTCAGCCTGGACCTGTATGCCAACAACATCGGCCCGGGGACTCGGAGTGCTTTTGCTTTTCGGGCTGGGGTGGGGTGGGGGTCTTTTTGCCCACCCAAGGTTCCTTCACCGAATTGCTGCATGGCTGACTTTTTTTAGTAGACCGTCGCATGAAATCTTGGGCTTTCTTCCCCTCAGCATGTTCATAGCAGATGGGAACGCAAGAAACATCGTAAACACAAGGGAGCAAAAGAGCTCATGTTCACTCTTCGTGGCCCGGGAGTTTCAGTAGCTGTCCGTTCAGTCCACGGTCCTTAGTCATTTGAAGGCTTGCCCTCGGGACCGAAGTGAATGGAATCGAGCGACGAGAGCGCGCGGAACGTGCACAAAGACTCACCGGTCACACATGGTCACACTGAACTCCGGGGGCCGTTCAGCGAGTCCCATCCGAATTCTTCCATCCCGAAAGTCTAAACAAGGCGCAGCTGAAAAGCCGCACGGCGCTCTCATCTCAAGCCTAAACCCCCTAGCGACCCATCTAAGCCCTCTATACAGTGCCCAAACCCTGAAACACTGAGTTTAAAAAAGGACGCTGGTGTCAGTGAGAGAGCGGGAGAGAAGTTGCGTCTCTGTAGAGTTGTGACGTGATGTGACAGTGGATTTATTGAGATCAAACCGCGACCGGGCCTGGCGGGAGACGTTTCTTCAGACGTTTCTTCACTTCTGTAGGAATTCAAAGGAGACATAAGGTACGGGTATACCCTGACTTCCCTTACCACGGAAGCTTGCAAGTGAACATAGGATTTTGTGTAGTGTTCATCAAAAAGTTCCTTGTAATATCATGCATGACTTTCCTTGTATTCACTTAGCCTTTAAGACGCATGTCAGAAAAAAGTGTTCCGGGAACGGCCTGAAAGTGTCACAGCTCGCAAAAAAGAGCTTGGGAGAGGCTCTGGAAGCCTCGGGGGATTGAGAGTCGGCTGATTCTGGGAGCAGGGTCCGGAGAGCAATCCCCCGCTCTTCGGAGAGCTGAGAGCATGGCGGAGGCGGGGGCTTTGAACGTTGAACGTCCCCGGCTTCGAGTGTCGAAGGGAAAGAAAGGGAGAGGAAGATCTGCAACGTCGCATGCTCCAGGGTGTATGCAGGGTAGGGGATTTTGAGAACGTCATAAAGCCCCCAAAGGCAGCCTCAGCTTCAGAATTGCTTTCTTCGAGTCGGGTTCGGGATCCGGGTCCCCCCCCCCCCCCAGTCGGAATCCTAAACTCTCAACTTCAGTTCTGAAGGCCCCAGTACAGAGGCCTTCCAAAAGCCCAACGACAGCTTCAGCTTCGGAATGGCCCCGTTCAGGATCCTGCCCCCCAAAACAGGCCGACCTCCTTCCAAAACCGGACTCGGAGCGCTTTGTGTCCAGCCAGGCTACTGAGGGCCTCGTACCAAAAGTCTAGGGTATGGAACAGGCCCGGGCTTTTGGTGTGAAAGCTTTTATGCTGAGCCCTTCTAGAATCTAGAAGGTTTCAACTTCCAGCGTAATGACTCGGAGTCTGCGTCAGCGGGCTCGCCGTCGGAAACCAAAGAGCTTACCACAAGTCGTTGCAGACAGCTGTACCCGATATGGTTTCAGTGGCCGGCTCCATGTAATCCTCTTTCGTTCCTTTTGCTTCATCCAGTTAATGTTTTGGTCAGCTCCATCCATGCAATCTCCTCCTCCGTTCCGTTTGGTGTTACTATTTGTTCTTGGACCTCTGGCCTCCTGCTTCGAGTTTGGGGTGTCGGATGAGGGCCCCAGCGTTTGGGATTTGGCTACCCAGCAGGCCTGCGCTCCCGAGGTCCCAACTCGAGTTCTGAAGTTCCCAGCTTCCGCCCCCACAACCAGGGCGGCTTCCGCTGCCTTGAGTGGAAGACTTCACCTTACCACCGCCTCCCAAGGCGACGAAGGGTGCCAGCACGTGGCCGGCGCCCTCGGCCGCCTCGCGCAGCTCGAGAAGCTGAGCGTGGCCCTGTATAACAACGGTATCAGCCCGGGGACCCAGGGCGCTTTCGGCCATGGTGGAGTGGACTTTTACTCCCACCCATTCAGCTTCCTTGAGGTACTGCACGTAGGCAAGGCATGGCAAGGCCAGCGCTTGCTTTACTAGTCTGGAAACTGAAAGCTTCGTTCGACCTGTGACTGTTGTTCTTAAATGAAGGGCACACCGGAGGACTGGGGTTCATAGATGTGATCTGTGTGCATATAACATGTAATCAGCACAAGTTTCTCTGGAAATCTTTGAGTTTTACATGTGTTTTCTTTCTTTTCACTTGCCTTCGTGGAAATCCTCTTTTCTCCTGATTTCCATGCTCTCCTTAAAATTTTCAGTAGAACGGTGGTCCAGGACAATTTCGCTCGACCTGCGACGGTGCTTAACGGCACACCGGAGGTCTGGAAGGTCTGGGTTTCGTAGGCTGGGCCCAGACACTGTGAGAGTGGCCGCGTGGCCATCTCTTCTTCCGGTGAATGTTGATTCTGATCCTGCATTGGTGGGGTTTGGAGGAAGGGGGGGGGGGGAGCGGGAAGGGCGGAGCGGGAAAGCGTCGGGCAGCTGACTTGGGGGCAAAATGCACCCTTCATGTACTCTTGAAAAGATAGAGAGGCGCAGGGATGAGAGGTGGATGAGAGGTGGCCGATTCAGGAAGCAGGACGCAGCCACCGGGAGCACAGGGAGCACAGGGAGCACAGCGAGCAAAGGGAGCACCGGCAGCACAGGGAGCTGGACAAGCCCCCCTGACGCCTGGATGTCTAGTGAAATAGCTTTGGTTCTCATTTGTTCTCATTAGAGGGTGTGTGAGGTTTGTAGGAATTCAAAGGAGACATAAGGTACCCTGACTTCCCTTACCGCAGGAGCCTTCAAGCGAACAGAGGGTTTTGTGTAGTGTTCATGAAAAAAATTCCTTGCAATATCATGCATGACTTTCCTTGTACTCACTTCTCGAATTCAGTAGCCTTTAAGATGCATGTCAGAAGAAGCGTTCCGGGAACGGCCTGAAAGTGTCACAGCTCGGAAAAAAGCTTGGGAGAAGTTCTGGAAGTCTCGGGGATTGAGAGTCGGCTGATTCTGGGAGCAGGGTTCGGAGAGCAATCCCCCCGCTCTTCGGAGAGCTGAGAGAATGGTGGGTAGATGCGGGGGTTTTGAACGTCCCCGGCTTCGATCTGCAATGAACGTCGCGTGCTCCAGGGTGTCTGCAGGGTAGGGGGATGAGAGCGTGTTGGAGAGGCCATAAAGCCCCCAAAGGCAGCCTCAGCTTCAGAAAGCTTCAGAATTGCTTGCTTCGAGTCGGGTTCGGGAACCGGCAGCCTTTGAAACAAGGCCGGGGCGACCTTCATTGCCTTGGAGCGACCGTTTCCACCCCCCTGCAAGTCGGAATCCTAACTCTCAACTTCATTTCTGAAGGCCCCAGTTCAGAGGCCTTCCAAAAGCCATAAAAGCCCAACGACAGCTTCAGCTTCGGAATGGCCCGGTTCAGGGTCCTGCCCCCCAAAAACAGGGCGAACTCCTTCCAACCCCCTCAGAAGGCACGGAAGGCTGCGAGCGCTTGGCCGGCGGACTGGGCCGCCTCACGCAGCTCCGAGAGCTCAGCCTGGACCTGTCATTGAACCACATCGGCCCGGGAACTCGGAGCGCTTTGTGTCCAGCCAGGCTACTGAGGCCTTGTACCAAGGGTATGGAACAGGCCCGGGCTTTTGGTGTGAAAGCTTCCATGCTCAGCCCTTCTAGAAGGTTTCAACTTCCAGTCTAATCACTCGGAGTCGGCGTCAGTGGGTCGGAAGCCAAAGAGCTTACCAAAAGTCGTTGCAGACAGCTGTGCCCGACAGCTGTAGCCGATATGGTTTCAGTGGCCGGCTCCATGTAATCCTCTTTCGTTCCTTTAGCTTCATCCATGAACAAAAATTCTGATCAGCTCCATCCATGTAATCTCCTCCTCCGTTCCTTTTGGACCTGTGGCCTCCTGCTTCGAGTTTGGGGTGCCGGAGAAGGGCCCCAGCATTTGGGATTTGGCTGCCCAGGAGGCCTGGGCTCCCGAGGTCCCAACTCGAGTTCTGAAGTTCCCAGCCTAGGGGGCCTTCCAACTGGCTTTGTTCCAGTGTTCAGGATTCCGCCCCCACAACCAGGGCGGCTTCCGCTGCCTTGAGTGGAAGACTTCACCTTACCACCGCCTCCCAAGGCGACGACGGCTGCCAGCACGTGGCCGGCGCCCTCGGCCGCCTCGCGCAGCTCGAGAAGCTGAGCGTGAACCTGCGAAAGAACGGTATCGGCCTGGGGACCCAGGGCGCTTTCGGCCATAGTGGAGTGGACTTTCATTCAGGTTCCTTGAGGTACTGCGCCTAGGCAAGGCATGGCAAGGCCAACACTTGCTTTACTAGTCTCAACTAAAAGCTTCGCTCGACCCGTGACTGTTGTTCTTAAATGAAGGGCACACCGGAGGCTTGGGGGTCATACATGCGATCTGTGTACATATAACATGTACTCAGCAAAAGTTTGAGTTTTACATGTATATTCTTTTTTTTCACTTGCCTTCGTGGAAATCCTCTTTTCTCCTGATTTCCATGCTCTCCTTAAAATTTTCAGTAGAACGGTGGTCCATCAGCATCTCGCTCGACCTGCGACCTGCGACGGTGCTTAGCGGCACACCGGAGGTCTGGAAGGTCTGGGTTTCGTAAGCTGGGCCCAGACACTGTGAGAGTGGCCGCGTGGCCATCTCTTCTTCCGGTGCATGTTGATTCTGATCCTGCATTGGTGGGGTTTGGAGGAGGGGGGGGGGCGGGCGGAGCGGGAAAGCGTCGGGCAGCTGACTTGGACAGAAAACCGCGCGATACAAAGACTCCGAGGCAAAATGCACCTTTCATGTACTCTTGAAAAGATAGAGAGGCGCAGGGATGAGAGGTGGCCGATTCAGGAAGCAGGACACCGCCCCCGGGAGCACAGGGAGCGCGGGGAGCGGGAACCGACAAGGCCCATTGAAGCTTGGAGGTGACACAAGCAGCTTTGGTTCTCATCTGTTCTCATTGTAGGGTGTGTGAGGTTTGTAATTGAGGAGCCTTTACTGAACGGAGAAGAAACGTTCCGGGAACGGCCAGACAGTGTCACAGCTCTGCCAAAAACACGATTGAGAGGCGGCCGATTCGGAGAGCGGGCTTTGAACAGCAATCCCCCGCTCTTGTCGGAGAGTTCAGAGCTCGAAGCGCAAGGCCGGCTTCGAGTGTTGAGCGTAGGATCTGCAAAATGTCGGCTCCCAAGGGCAGCCTCCGCTTCAGAATGGCAGTCGACTAGGGTATACTAGGGTTGAGGGTCCTGCACCCCCAACAAGTGGGGACGAGCTCCACTGCCTTGAGACATCTTGAGACCGAAGACTTCCTCCCACCGAGGCAAGGAAGGCTCCGAGCACCTGGCCAGCGCACTGGGCCGGCTCACGCAGCTCCGAGAGCTCAGCCTGGACCTGGGGATCAACAACATCGGCCCGGGGACTCGGAGTGGTTTTCGGGCCGGGGGTGGGGTGGGGTCTTTTTGCCCACCCAAGGTTCCTTTACCGAATTGCTGCATGGCTGACTTTTTTTTTTGAGTAGACCGTCGCATGAAATCTTGGGCTTTCTTCCCCTCAGCATGTTCATAGCAGATGGGAACGCAAGAAACATCGTAAACACAAGGGAGCAAAAGAGCTCATGTTCACTCTTCGGGGCCCGGGAGTTTCAGTAGCTGTCCGTTCAGTCCACGGTCCTTAGTCATTTGAAGGCTTGCCCTCGGGACCGAAGTGAATGGAATCGAGCGACGAGAGCGCGCGGAACATGCACAAAGACTCACGGGTCACACTGAACTCTTGGGGCCGTTCAGCGAGTCCCATCCGAATTCTTCCATCCCGAAAGTCTAAACAAGACGCAGCTGAAAAGCCGCACGGCGCTCTCATCTCAAGCCTAAACCCCTCATGGTCCCATCTAAGCCCTCTATACAGCGCCCAAACCCTGAAACGCTAAGTTCAAAAAAGGGACGCAGGTGTCAGTGAGAGAGCGGGAGAGAAGTTGTGACAGTGGATTCATTAGATCAAACCGCGTGGTACAGGGCCTGGCGGGAGACGTCTCTTCAGACGTTTCTTCACTTCTGTAGGAATTCAAAGGAGACATAAGGTACCCTGACTTCGCTTACCACGGAAGCTTGCAAGTGAACAGAGGGTTTTGTGTAGTGTTCATGAAAAATTCCTTGTTTTTATCATGCATGACTTTCCTTGTATTCACTTCTCGAATTCAGTAGCCTTTAAGACGCATCAAGAGGCTCTTCAAGTCTCGGGGGTTGAGAGTCGGCTGGGAGCAGGGGTCGGAGAGCAATCCCCCCCGCTCTTCGCAGGGCTGAGAGCGTGGTGGAGGCGGTTGAGGGCTTTGAACGTCCCCGGCTTCGAGTGTCGAAGGGAAAGAAAGGGAGAGGAAGATCTGCAACGTTGCGTGCTCCAGGGTGTATGCAGGGTATGGGATTTTTAGAACGTGTTGGAGAGGCCTTCCATAAAGCCCCCCAAAGGCAGCCTCAGCTTCAGAATTGCTTTCTTCGAGTCGGGCTCGGGAACCGGCAGCCTCTAAAACAAGGGGGGGCGACCTTCATTTTTCTTTCCGTTTCCACCCCGGAATCCTAACCCTCAACTTCATTTCTGAAGGCCCCAGTCCAGAGGCCTTCCGAAAGCCCAACGGCAGCCTCAGCTTCGGAATGGTTCAGGATCCTGCCCCCCAAAACAGGGCGACCTCCTTCCAACCCCCCTCGCAAGGCACGGAAGGCTGCGAGCGCTTGGCCGGCGGACTGGGCCGCCTCACGCAGCTCCGAGAGCTCAGCCTGGACCTGTCATTGAACAACATCCGCCCGGGGACTCGGAGCGCTTTGTGTCCAGCCGGGCTACTGAGGGCCTTGTGCCAAGAAGTCCAGGGTGTGTAACAGGCCCGGGCTTTTGGTGTGAAAGCTTTACAATGCTGAGCCCTTCTAGAAGGTTTCAACTTCCTGCGTAATCACTCGGAGTCGGCGCCAGCGGGTTCGCCGTCGGAAGCCAAAGAGCTTACCACATGTTGTTGCAGACTGCTGTACCTGACATGGTTTCAGTGGCCGGCTCCATGTAATCCTCTTTCGCACCTGTTGCTTCATCCATGTAATTTGGTCAGCTCCATCCATGTGATCTCCTCCTCCGTTCCGTTTAGTGTTACCGTTTTTTTTTTTGGACCTTTGGCCTCCTGCTTCGAGTTTGGGGTGTCGGAGAAGGGTCCCAGCATTTGGGATTTGGCTACCAAGGAGGCCTGGGCTCCCGAGGTCCCAACTCGAGTTCTGAAGTTCCCAGCCTAGGGGGCCTTCCAACTGGCTTTGTTCCAGTGTTCAGGATTCCGCCCCCACAACCAGGGCGGCTTCCGCTGCCTTGAGTGGAAGACTTCACCTTACCACCGCCTCCCAAGGCGACGACGGCTGCCAGCACGTGGCCGGCGCCCTCGGCCGCCTCGCGCAGCTCGAGAAGCTGAGCGTGAACCTGCAAAGTAGCAGTATCGGCCCGGGGACCCAGGGCGCTTTCGGCCATGGTGGAGTGGACTTTTCTTCCCACCCATTCAGGTTCCTTGAGGTACTGCATGGTACTGCGCCTAGGCAAGGCATGGCAAGGCCAACACTTGCTTTACTAGTCTCAACTAAAAGCTTCGCTCGACCCGTGACTGTTGTTCTTAAATGAAGGGCACACCGGAGGCTTGGGGTTCAAACATGCGATCTGTATACATCTAACATGTACTCAGCAAAAGTTTCTCTGGAAATCTTTGAGTTTTACATGTGTATATATTTTTTTCACGTGCCTTCGTGGAAATCCTCTTTTCTCCTGATTTCCATGCTCTCCTTAAAATTTTCAGTAGAACGGTGGTCCATCAGCATTTCGCTCGACCTGCGACGGTGCTTAGCGGCACACCGGAGGTCTGGAAGGTCTGGGTTTCGTCGGCTGGGCCCAGACACTGTGAGAGTGGCCGCGTGGCCATCTCTTCTTCCGGTGAATGTTGATTCTGATCCTGCGTTGGTGGGGTTTGGAGGAGGGGGGGGGCAAAGACTCTGAGGCAAAATGCACCTTTCATGTACTCTTGAAAGGATAGAGAGGCGCAGGGATGAGAGGTGGCCGATTCAGGAAGCAGGACACCGCCCCCGGGAGCACAGGGAGCGCGGGGAGCGGGAACCGACAAGGCCCATTGAAGCTTGGAGGTGACACAAGCAGCTTTGGTTCTCATCTGTTCTCATTGTAGGGTGTGTGAGGTTTGTAGTTGAGGAGCCTTTGCTGAACGGAGAAGAAGCGTTCCGGGAACGGCCAGACAGTGTCACAGCTCTGCCAAAAAAAACGATTGAGAGGCGGCCGATTCGGAGAGCGGGCTTTGAACAGCAATCCCCCTCTCTTGCCAGAGAGTTCAGAGCTCGAAGCGCAAGGCCGGCTTCGAGTGTTGAGCGTAGGATCTGCAAAATGTCGGCTCCCAAGGGCAGCCTCAGCTTCAGAATGGCAGTCGACTAGGGTATACTAGGGTTGAGGATCCTGCACCCCCAACAAGTGGGGACGAGCTCCACTGCCTTGAGACATCTTGAGACCGAAGACCTCCTCCCACCGAGGCAAGGAAGGCTGCGAGCACTTGGCCAGCGCACTGGGCCGCCTCACGCAGCTCCGAGAGCTCAGCCTGGACCTGGCATACAACTACAACATCGGCCCGGGGACTCGGAGTGCTTTTCGGGCCGGGGGTGGGGTGGGAGTGGGGGTCTTTTTGCCCACCCAAGGTTCCTTTACCGAATTGCTGCATGGCTGACCTTTATTTTAGTAGACCGTCGCATGAAATCTTGGGCTTTCTTCTCCTCAGCATGTTCATAGCAGATGGGAACGCAAGAAACATCGTAAACACAAGGGAGCAAAAGAGCTCATGTTCACTCTTCGGGGCCCGGGAGTTTCAGTAGCTGTCCGTTCAGTCCACGGTCCTTAGTCGGCTTGCCCTCGGGACCGAAGTGAATGGAATCGAGCGACGAGAGCGCGCGGAACGTGCACAAAGACTCACGGGTCACACATGGTCACACTGAACTCTTGGGGCCATTCAGCGAGTCCCATCCGAATTCTTCCATCCCGAAAGTCTAAACAAGGCGCAGCTGAAAAGCCGCAGGGCGCTCTCATCTCAAGCCTGAACCCCCCAGACCCATCTAAGCCTTTTATGCGCCCAAACCCTGAAACGCTAAGTTGAAAAAAGGGGCGCAGGTGTCAGTGCGAGAGCGGGAGAGAAGTTGCGTCTCCGTAGAATTGTGACGTGATGTGACAGTGGATTTATTGAGATCAAGCCGCGTGGTGGGAGACGTTTCTTCAGATGTTTCTTCACGTAATGACGTTCAGGCGAGATTCCCAATCCATCTCAGACTCCTTGTGCGGTTGTCTGATCTTGCCGGTGGGGCCAGCACTTGCTTTGCGAGTCTCGAGACCAAAAACTTGGCTCGATCGGTGACTGTTCTTAAGGGCGCAGTTCCTTTGTTCGTGAGCTGGGCGTGGTCAAGGGGCCCAGACTCTGAGAGAGTAGCCGCCTAGCCATTTATGCTTCCGGTGAATGTTGAATCAGATCCTGCTTTGGCGGAGTTTGGGGGGAGGGGGGGAGAGCGGGAAGGGCGGACGGGAAAGCGTCGGGCAGCTGACTTGCGACTCGGAGCGCTTTGAGTCCAGCCAGGCTACTGAGGGCCTTGTGCCAAAAAGTCCAGGATATTGTGCAACAGGCCCGGGCTTTTGGTGTGAAAGCTTCCATGCTGAGCCCTTCTAGAAGGTTTCAACTTCCAGCGAAATGGCATCAGCGGGTTCGGCGTTGGAAGCCAAAGAGCTGTGAGCACAGGTCGTTGCAGACGGCTGTACCCGATATGGTTTCAGTGGCCGGCCCTCTCATCTTTGGCGGAGTTTGGGGGAGGGGGGGAGAGCGGGAAGGGCGGACGGGAAAGCATCGGGCAGCTGACTTGACACCGACGGAGAAAGAGGTGGCCCTCACGCTCGGGAGTTTTCAGAAGGAAGCAGGCCAGAAAATGCCACGAACGACTCAAGAATCAGAGGCGGCCGATTCAGGTGCAATAGTGTTTGGAAACGGACCCCTCCGAACTCTCAACGCTTGTCCGATCCTCGCCACCTGAAGCCACGTCTCCCTGGGCGAAGTCCTCGGAGCCCAGGCCGTGACGAGAAAGAGGAGATACGCAGGCTGCTGCAGTCACTGCCCGCGGCCAAGAAGAACATCAGGTTGTGACGACCCCCTTCAGGCGGGAGAGAAGTTTGGGGCCTGCACCAGTTGGTTTCTGCTCTCACAAAAATAAAAACTGTGCTGTTGTGAAAGAGGGGCCTTAAGGCTTCGAGGGCCCTTGGGGGTCTGTCGCCCAATGGGGCCCGCGCACAAAGTGTTCGGGCTCGTTGTCGCTGCTGCGCGCAGGCCCGGCGCAGTTTCGGCACCATCGAGGTGCGGCTCTGTTTGGCAGGGGGCCTTGTGTGCCGCTTCGACTTTGTTGAATGTTCTCCAGGGGAGCCATCTGCTGTAAAGCGAGTCACTTTGGTTTTGTACGGTTCCCAGGGATTTGGAGCAGGAGCGTGCCCTGCATGTTGAGGGCTTTGTAGCAGAGGCTCTTGACGTGAGGTGTTTTGGTTGAGAGTTGTTCTCAGAAACACACGATGGCCAGGACCATCAAGGCCTTTTTTTTTTTGGCACTCGCTTGCCAGGAAGCTGCGTCGACCCATCCGGAGTGAGGGCCTGCTTGCACCCACGCCGCTGCTGCGGGCATCTGCACGTTGCGAGGCAGCCTGCACGGGCTCATTGGTAGGGCATCGTGTCATCCAAGTCTGTGCCTAGAGTTCAAGAATTGTCAACAGATAGTTCAAGGATAGTTCAGGGTCCTCGGAAGTGTCAGCTGACGCATGCTGCCGGCCCCGCACTGACCATCAGATCACTTTGGATTGGAGAGCCCTTCCTCCTCAGTGGCCTTGATGCCGAGACTGCCTGCAGTTGAATGCAGACATATAAGTTATATATATATATATATATTTATTTATTCATATGTAAATTTTTTACATATGGAGACTCAAACTGTATCAGCACCCTCCAAACTCCCAAAGTTCTCCGGTTATGTGGGCCCGCAGCCCCCGGTAAATTAGAGACCCGGGCCCTTCGCTGCGGGGCCGAAGGTATCTGCAGGTCTTGGCTCCTGGGCACTCGGACTGCAAGCTTGAAAAAGGAGCTTGCGTGGCGCAGCAGGATGTCGGTTCTCCAAGCTGCGGTTGAGAGCAAGTCGGAGCGTTCTGGCAAATGCTGTACTCGTAGTAGAGTTGCTATACTTCTAGAGCCGCAATCTTGCCTCGGAGCCCATGTCCAGGCTTCAATGCCACCCTGAGACCGTCACCCGGATCACAAGAACCTGCGTGCCATGCTCTGGGGTGTTCTAGTTGGAAGGGGTTTGGGTAGGGGGCTGGGAGGGGTTTGGTGTTTATTAAGGGGGAAAAGGGAGTGACGTGGCAAAGCTTGGTGTCTTCAGTGTCCGTCCAGTTTGGGGGCTGTTTTCCGCCAGCTGCGGCTCATACTCGCAGCAGCAAGAATCCTCAAACCCAAGACGCCTTGCAGTGGAACAAACTCCCAAACCTGGCCACAGCCTACTATATACCCAACACCCCCCAACCCCCTAAAACCCTAAACCATCCTAAGCCCCTATAAAGTCCTCAACCTCCCTAAACATGCTTTCTGGGCCCTAACCCTTGCAAGCCAAAAAAGCCCCAAGATAGCCTCCCCCCCCCCCTGCCATGCCCAACCGTGGCCGCTGGTCCCGGCCGCCACTGGCTTCCTTGCCGAGACCGAGCCCAGAGCCCGAAGCGCTTTCGTGATTTTTGCTCTCAGTGCCTTGCGAGCTCACAGGGTTTATGCAGGGTGTAGCGATTGGGGTTTAGGCGGTTTAGGGTGTGGGGTGGGGGATTGCGAGGGAGTTTGGGATCAATGGGGCTTCAGGGGTTAAGGATTTAGAGGATTCTTTGTTGGGGCAGTTTCGGGGGGTTGGTGGTGCTCTCACGGCTTCCTGTATGTTTCCAGCACTATGTGTTTGTATGTTTCGAGCACGATGTGGAGCTTCCAACCCTGCCGAAAAAGCCCCGAAAACGCCCACGCCCTGACTCAACCGAGAGGCTCAGGGGAGGACGCGGGGAGCCCGAGCCCAGACCTGGAGGTGAGGGCCTTGCGTTTTGTATTTTGTTTTTTTGTTTTTTCTTTTTTGGGCGGGGGGGGAGGAGGGGGGGTGTTAGAGTTGAGGGCTTTCCAGAGTTTCTAGCGTTTAGGGCATGGTAGGGTTTGTTTGCTTTCGGAGTTTCGGGATTTGGGGGTCTGGGGCTTTTGACAGGCTGAAGCAGCTTCGAAGTAACCGGTAGCGGGTTTTGAGGGCTTCGGCTTCAGTTGAACTATTGGTGTGGTCAGTGCCCGCCCCACACCTCCGGGGCCAAAAGGCCCGACAAGCTGAAGAGCCCATCCCCAGGCCAAGGCACCCTTTGAAAACTGAATGAATCCCTAAACCCTAAACCCTAAACCCTAAACCCTAAACCCTAAACCCTAAACCCTGAACCCTGAACCCTGAACCCTGAACCCTGAACCCTGAACCCTGAACCCTGAACCCTGAACCCTGAACCCTGAACCGTGAACCCTGAACCCTGAACCCTGAACCCGGAACCCGGAACCCTGAACCCTGAACCCTGAACCCTAAGCCAGGTGTCCCTGGACTCCGCCCTGTCGGACCTCGGCGTCGGACGGCTTTTTGGGCCGGAAGATGCTGTTGCACCATGTGTTCAAAGCCAACTCCTTAGGGTTTAGGGTTTAGGGTTGAGGGTTTAGGGTTTAGGGTTTAGGGTGGGATGTTGCCCCTTTATACTAGCAATCCTTAATAGGGATGATCATAGGGGGTACTCTAATCTCCATTTAAATTTAAGGGGGTGCTAGTCTAAGGGGAACAGGCCAAACCATGTGCTTTTTGTACCCTTGCTACTTTTGGGGTTTAGGGCTTCGAGTGTTAGGGCTCATAGGGCTATAAGTTTCTGAGCGTAGCGGGCCGCGCCCCCTGAAGTTCCTCAGCCCCAAGGCCCACACAGACGTTTGTTTCAGCCTGCTTCCGTGTCTTCTTTCTTTGCCCTAAACCCTAAGCCCCCTTAAGCCCTAACCCTAAACCCTAAACCCTAAACCCTAAACCCTAAACCCTAAACCCCATAAGCCCTACAAACCCTGGAGCCAGCGCAGTCAAGCCCCGAGTCCAGAAATAGCTCCGTGGCTTCTCAAGCAGGGTTGATAGGATTTGGGGTTTAGGTAGGGTTATGGGTTGATGGTAGGGTTTACAGGGTTTAGGTTTCAGGGTGAGGGTTTAGGGTTTAGGATTTAGGGTTTTGAGTTTAGGGTTGAGGGAGCTTTGGGTGCTTTGAAGCTGTCTAGCACCCCTCGGATCCCCTCGTATTCTTGAGTCCTGGGCTTAAAATGCCACGGAGGAGCTACAGGGTTTCAGGCTTTCAGTCGGGATCACCACCCGAAACCCTAAACCCTAAACCCTAAACCCTAAACCCTAAACCCTAAACCCTAAACCCTAAACCCTAAACCCTAAACCCTAAACCCTAAACCCTAAACCCTAAACCCTAACCCTACACCCTACAAACCCTAACCCCCTAAACCCTAAACCCTAAACCCTAACTAAACCCTAAACCCTAAACCCTAAAGCCTAAAGCCTAAAGCCTAAACCCTAAACCCTAAACCCTAAACCCTAAACCCTAAACCCTAAACCCTAAACCCTAAACCCTAAACCCTAAACCCTAAACCCTAAACCCTAAACCCTAAACCCTAAACCCTGTCTCTTAGTATGGGTCCTGAAAAGGCCTTTATATACCCCTTGAAAACCCTGTGCAAATGAAGGGCCCATACAAAGGAGGTTAGGGGCCATATTCAGTACTAAACCTGAACCCCAAACCCAAACCCCAAACCCCAAACCCCAAACCCCAAACCCCAAACCGTAAACCCTGAACCCTGAACCCTAAGCCCCAGGCATAAGAATAGGGCCCATGGAACTACCCTAAGAACCGACGGCTGCGTGCTGCTTTGAGGAAGACCTGCCGGCAACTGCGGGGCGAGCTGCGCTTGGAGGATGCTTCTTGGCCGATGACGGCTCAGTGGGCCACAGAGGGCTTGGGGTTTAGGGTTTAGGGTTTAGGGTTTAGGGTTTAGGGTTTAGGGTTTAGGGTTTAGGTTTAGGGCTTAGGGCTTGGAGCTTAGGGCTTAGGATGGCGTTGTGACCGTACTTGAGCCTTTGCGTCTCCGGAATGCCTCAACCGATGTGTAGTGTTGCACGGTGCTTCGTGCATACGAAACCAACTAACCCACCTCCCTCTCCTACACCAGACTTACGCAACCCATATGGACACTTCTCAAAGTTAGGGTCCCGTTTTGGGTACCCTAAATATTTGGGCCGCCTTTCCATAGGGACCAGATAAAAGAGCCATGATTTGGAGAATTTACCATACCATATCCCTCAATCGCCAAAGCCCCTAAATGTGCCTCCCTCTGCCCAGGACTCCTTTGCCAGCCTGCTGCTCCTCTGGCGCCGGGACCAGCGTCGGGTGTCTCCGCTGCAGAACGGTAAAACCCTAAAACTCAAACCCTAAACCCTAAAACCTAAACCCTAAACCCCAAACCTATCCCTAAACCCTAAAGCCTAAACCCTAAGCCCTAAACCCTAAACCCCTGCTTGGAGGCTTGTTGCTGAGAACCCCCCAGACATTCCTAAAAACCCTGAGCCCTGATTTCAAGAGCTGCTGCGAGTTGTCGGTGGAGCAGCGGGGTGGTTTGAGCTTCATCCGTGGCTCATGTTTCCAGTTTGTGTGTTGCGGGTTCAGGACTTGAGCTTCGGTGATGATCAGGACAACTACATCAAGGGTCAAGGTGCTTCGGGATACACTTGCCTTCAAGCCGCAGGGTCCTGTACGGGAGCAGCTATTTCAAGGCTGGAGCTTTGCAAACAGCATCACGCAGACCAGAAGGTAAGCCTAAGCCTTAAGCCCCCTACCCAAAGCCTTATACAAAGCCCTGAGCAAGCCCTGGGCCTCCTAAACCCTAAGCCGTACTGCTGGTTAGCAGGGAATGAGGGAAGGAGGTACCCTACATCCCCCTATATATTACCATTTGAGGGATGTTTTGGGGTACCTCATTCCCTTATTCCCTATATACTAACCAACAGTAAGAAGCCCTGGAAGGACACCAGCACCCCGTCTTGAGGTGGAGACCGCCCTGGCGCGGCTGGGCGACGTCGCAGCGGAAGCGATAGCTGAGAGGCTGGCAGTGGCGGAGGCTCTTATGCGGGACAGGCTTCTCTCTCTTGCCTTTCTTCTTTTGTGGGTTTAGGGTTTCTGTTGAACGCACTTCCTTTGCAGGTCCTTCAGGTAGGTTGTTCACTTGTTTTCCTTGTTGCTCGTAGGCCCAAGCACAGTAGGGTCATGAGCACATCTTTTAAGTACATTCACAACCTTTAGGTGCCGTAGCCCAAGGTTAGCGCAGAACAGACATTTGGTCTTTTTTCTTGTTTGCTGTGTGTCAAAAGAAGCTCCGCGTTCGTGTGCGCCATGGCTGTCAGGGATGGGACTGGGGAACTTGCTACTCCACTAGTGCCTCCTGATCAGCCTGCTGGTTCACACCAGCAGGTTATGAGCCCAACGCAGGGCTACGGCACCGTGATGCCGCCATCATCCCAACCTCCCGGGAGGGATGGTTTGCAAGAGCATATGCATTCCGCAACACCTGATGCACCCACCGCCGGCATTGAGGGTGGTTTGGGTTTTGTGGATATGGCTGCGGGAAGGGCGCGTGCTAGTATAGACCCAGCAGAAGGCGTGCAGCATGCGTCGACCACCACTGAGGGTGGGATATTGCACGGTATGCCCCGAAGCATGCCACAAGCAGTGCAACCTCCGGACGGAAGTCCAGGACCAGAGGCCAACACCATCCTGCGTCAGGACACCTTGGGTGACGACCGTCAGGTTACAGACCAAGGTGGTGACAGGGGTTTGGGGGGCATAAGGTCAACTGGTGAGACCGCTGGAGTTGAGGGGTTCATGACCCCACGTTCACAGGGTTTGCCCGCTATCTCCGAAATGGTTGAAGGCATTCCTGGTGTTTCTGAGTTTTTCCGTGTGGCAAGGACTGAGGTGCAGGCCCAGTCACCACCACACCACACACGAGCAAGCCCTGGTGCCGTGTCCAGGGTAAGGGCTTTGGAGGATGGGAGTGTGGGGTCAAGTGGGTCGCCGCCGTTGCCGGGATCGCATGGGACTCCAACCACTTTCGCCCCGGGCCCCGGAAGGGAAGCCCCGCTACTTAACGCAGAGATGTTGCAACGCATGCAGGCTATTGAGCAGCGGGCCCCACTAATCTATCCGCGAGTTGTAGCGCCTGAACGCCCCTCAAGTCGTACAGAGTCGTCGTCCTTGCCACAGGAAGCAATTCAAGCAGAGGTGGCCAGGCAGCTTGCAGGTTTTGAGGCTAGAGCCCAGGCGCAGGAGATGGAGAATCAGAGGTTGAGGCAGCTACTTGAGAGGAGTGAGCAGAGAGAGAGGTCCATGCGGGAAGTAGTGTCAACGCAAGCACAGACCCCAAGTGGCCCACCTCTAATCCCTAATGCCGCTCGTGCGCCTGTTGAGGCCCCTCTGCCAGCACCATCTCTTGCCCATCAGGTGCAGGATGCCACCTTTCAGGTGATGGATGCTTTGAGGGCGCCTGCATCTGCATCAGGGTTTTGGTCTAATTTGTGGTCGGGTTTGCAGGGTTCGCAAAGGTTGCCCAGCAATGCAACCCCACCCGGAAGGGCTGGGCATGTGCGTGAGCCCATGGCTCAATCTGCCCAGGTTGCACAGGTGCCAGGTACTGCCCAAGATGCACAGGTGCCAGGTACTCACAGGGCCTCTTCTGGCCCAGACCCCACTTTCCAGCCCGAAACCCCAGGTCTGGGGCAGATGAGGGCTGAAGGCGCCAATTCCGGCACAAGTCCACATTCTCGGCCCGAGAACCTGGGTTTGTGGCAGATTCCAGCAACTCCTCAGGTTTCAGGCGGTTTTGCCAGGACCGCAGGCCAAACGCCACCCGGGAGGGTCGGGCAGGTGCCCGACACTCAAGGTCCTCAGGTTTCAGCCGCTGCTGCAGCTCCACATGAGCAGCCCGCCACGCGTGAGGTGCCAAGTTCCGTAGTGGATGCACTGGTTTTAGGGGTGCAGCAGCTGCAAAGCTTGCAAGCTCATCAGCTCAAGGTCAAAGGTGACGATGCCCCTGAAGCAGTGAAACCAGGCATCACAACACTGCCCAAACTTGTTGCCCCCAACCCGTCAGGTGGGTCGTTGGAGTTTCAGGATTGGCTTGCGTTGGTTGGTGGATTGATGAGTGATGTGTCGGATTCATCGCAGCTTTGGTGGACAAGCGTGTTGCAGTTAGCGCGTGATGCCTTTGCCCGTTGGAGCGTTTCGTCCCCCGTGGAGCGGTTGAGAGTGGCCCCGGATGACAGGACGGAGATTGTTGAGGGCAAGTGGTCGCGTGTGAATGCCAGAGCATGTGCCATGTTGTTGGATTCGTTGGACGCGTCCGTGAAGGCCGACATTGTAGCACGCAGAGCCACGCAAAATGCAGCACACATCATGTTTCGCCTACATACGATTTACCAGCCAGGTGGGACCAACGAGCGCGACCTGATACTCAGGAACCTGCATGATCCACCGCCGTTTAAGGACGTGGTTGCTGGAGTGAGTTTGCTGAGGTCTTGGGGTCGTTGGCATCGCCGTTGTTTGGAATGTGGCATGGTTGCTCCTGATCCCTCCATCTTGGCCCGTGGGTTGACCACTGTGACGTCGCAGCACATTGCCAGGAATCCAGACGTGCAGTTTCGCACTCAGGTGGTACGCAGCGCACTGCACATTGACCTTCACCCGTCGGGAGATGAGGTTTTAGACTACCGCAAGCATTTGTTGCGGGTTTCCTGTGTTTGCCCTAACGCCACCGCGCTACCTTGTGCGGCAAGGTCTTGCGCAGGAGGGAGAGCTTTGGATCCTCACACACGCCGTCTATGGACTCAGGGAGTCACCAGAGCTGTGGTCAGACTTTAGGGACTCTCAGCTTCTTAACCTTAGATGCGTGGTCAACGGGGTTGAGCTGCAGCTACTCAAGGGCAAGTTAGACACGAACTGGTGGCGCGTCGTGCAAACCAGCGATGGTCAAGTCGTGGGAGGTTTAATCACCTACGTTGATGACGTCCTACTTGCTGGATGTGTTGAAGTCATCGAGGCTCTCGCCAAGGCCATCCAGTCGATCTGGAAAACGACGCCCCTCACACTTGCCACGCCGCGCCAGCCGTTAAGGTTTCTAGGGGTTGAGACCCTAGTGCAGGGTTTAGGGTTTGTTCTGCCGCAGCAGGCCTACGCAGAGGAGCTGCTACGCCTCAACAACGTCAAGCCCACTGCGCTGGGGAAGATCCCTTGCCCAAGAGACTTGGTGTCCTTTGACATTCTCCTGACGGATGAGGCGCCCACCGAGGAGTCAGTTCGTACAGCCCAGAGGCTGACCGGAGAAATCTTGTGGCTGAGCCAGCGAACGAGGCCGGATCTCGCGTTCACCGCTTGTGTCCTTGCTACGTTGAGCACAAAGGCGCCCGAAAGGGCTGCACGCATCGCTGAAAGGGCAAACCAAAGCCTTTGCTCTCACTGCTGACGCAGATGACACGGGCTTAGTTGCATACAGCGATGCCTCTTTTGCGCCAGATGGCAATCGCTCGCACACTGGTTGGGTTGTCTTCCTCTACGGCTCTCCTGTCTGTTGGCGTTCCGCTAGGCAGTCGTTTGTCACACTCAGCACTGCAGAGTCCGAGCTCGTCGCAGGACTTGATGCCGTCGTTGCACTGCAGTCAGCAGAGGCCATGCTGGGTGAGTTTGGGGTCTTTAACTTGGGTAAGACCTTGAAGGTTGACTCTCAGTCTGCGCTTGCTATCGCCATTGGCCAAGGGTCTTGGCGAACCCGCCACTTGAAGGTGCGCGCCAACTATTTGCGAGAGCAGTATGAGGCAGGAGAGATAATCCCCGTTTACTGCCCTGGTGTGGAGCAGGCTGCAGACCTCCTCACGAAAGCGCTTCCTGCAGCGAGGATCCTCGAGCTCGCAGCCATTTGGGGTTTGTTCGAGCACTGTCCAGAGGACCCCCGCCAAGCGGAAGCTGTGGCTGCCGACCTGCCTACCCACCCTCAGTATCCGCAGATCAAGTTGCTTTTCCTATTGCTTGCAATGATGCAGATCCAAAGTGCCAAGTGTCAGCCTGAGCTCTTTGATGAAGAGGAGGGAGATGTACATCAGGTTGAATTAAGCACGGATCTCATGTTCATGTTGCTTGTGGGTTTTGTAGGCATTGGTTTTATTGCCGTGTGGGAGCTTGCCAAGTGGTGCCCGAGACGCCACTCTCTTTGCCGAATCCACAGCGCTGCCAAGCAGAGGAAATTGCAACGCCTTCGTGACCGAACGGCCCAAGCAATCGAGGCCGAACTTTCCGCACGCAGGCAGCCAGAAGATGGAGCCCCAACTCGTTACTTTGCTGTTCCTGAGGGGGAGAAGCTCCATCGCACCAAGGACTGTCCTGCAATTGCAAGGTCATCCAATCTTTGCACATTTGAGGTGTGTCAGCGGTGCCACCGGCGTGCACCAGATCACACCACGCATAGCACAGGGTAGGTACTACTCCGCCCTGACGGGCAGGATGTGCATCGCATCGCGCATTCATGCCAAGTTTTTCCTCTTTTGCACTGCAATTTGCAGTTTGCAGAGATGCTCGCACGCATCTCTTTCTGAGCGCCTTAGGGTAGGGAACACTCTCCACCCTGACGGGCAGGACCTGCGCAGAAGTAGGAGTAAGGTAGGTCGCTGTCCCCTGGCGAGGCCGCGAAGGAGGAGTGTTGAACGCACTTCCTTTGCAGGTCCTTCAGGTAGGTTGTTCACTTGTTTTCCTTGTTGCTCGTAGGCCCAAGCACAGTAGGGTCATGAGCACATCTTTTAAGTACATTCACAACCTTTAGGTGCCGTAGCCCAAGGTTAGCGCAGAACAGACATTTGGTCTTTTTTCTTGTTTGCTGTGTGTCAAAAGAAGCTCCGCGTTCGTGTGCGCCATGGCTGTCAGGGATGGGACTGGGGAACTTGCTACTCCACTAGTGCCTCCTGATCAGCCTGCTGGTTCACACCAGCAGTTTCGGTTTTAGGGTTTAGGGTTTAGGGTTTAGGGTTTAGGGTTTAGGGCTTAGGGCTTAGATGGGCTTAGGGCTTAGGGTTTACAGGGTTTAGGGGCTGTCCCAACTTTAAGTGGTGTCTTTTAGGCTTCAGTGCTTCTGGGCCTTTGCTTTGAAGGCCGATTCCCGACCCTCACCGAGACATAAGAACCTTCCCGAAGCGACTACTTCCGCACCCTCAAACAACAGCCGCAGAACCGTGCAGAATCCCCATAAACAGGTCTTCACATCGGCAGATAGTTTGGTTGACAGAGCTTAGAATAAGGAGCTTAGAAGGATAGGGCTCTAAACCCTGGTGTTGAGTTGACTTCAATGTCTTTGCTGCGGGGCTTCTTAGGCTTTCAAGCGCCGCATGAGGTGGGCATGGTTGAGGCTGAGTCGCTGCAGCATCCAAGCGACTGGCCCTCCGTCAGCGGGCACAGCGGCGGAGGCGTGACCATAAGCCACATGAAGGTTTACGAAAAGAAGCGACCCCTAAAATAGCACCCCCCCCCAAGTAGTAGGCGTCCCCTGGAATAAGGACCCCCCAAAAGGTACCCCTAATTTCGGTAGGCCAGGAGAGCTTGTCCTAACCCTAAGACCCGAGACCCCAGAAGCCCTGAAGCCCTGCAGACCCCAAACCTTACTCAGCCCACAAAGACTCCAGCTTCCTAGCCCTTCAGGAAACCTCAAAAATGAACCCTAAAACTCAGCACTTTTTACATCCTCAGGTCAAAGCCTGGGACCCAAACCCTATACAATTGCTACACAAGCCCCCGAAAGCCTAACACCCTAAAACCCTTGAAACCCCTCTAGCCCCCCCCAAAAAGCCCTACCAAAAATCCTCCCCAAAAACCCCCCCAAACCTCCCTAGAAAACCCTAAGAACCCCCCCCCCCCCCCCAGAAAACCCCAGCAAAAACCCTAAGCCGATCCCAGCTGCAGGCTACCAGGCTGAACCTGGCCCGGTCAGCTCCGACGCCGTGGAGCCCTCCTTGGACCGCGCCCCTGGGGCTCCTGTTCATTGGATCAGGTGTTGAAGGATTTAGAGGGTTTTCTTGTTTTTTTATCTTAAATATTTGTTCAAGGTTTTTTTTTTCGGGTTTTTGAGTTTTTTTTCTTTCTCCGGGGTTGAAGGGTTTAGAGGTCCTTTTTAAGGGCTTAGGGTGTTGAGGTAGGTGTTTGTCGGATGTATAGGATGTGTTTTGGGTTTGAAGGGTCAATGGGGCTTTTTGGGGTTTATAGGGTTTAAAGTTTAACGGGTTTAGAGGGTTTACAGGGTTTATAGGGTTTTTGGGGTGTAAAGGGGATAAAGGGTTAAGAGGGTTTAAAGGGTTTGTAGGGTTCATAGGGTTTGGGTGTTTTTTGTTTTTTGTGAGGCTGTCAAGCTCTCAAGGCTTTGAGGCTTCATAGGCTTGTAGGGTTTGTTGGAGGGTTTGCTTTTCAGGGGCTCAAGGATGACTTCAACCTAAAAAATGGGAGGGGGTAGAAGGGGTCTCGGCCGGCCCCTGTAGGGAAAGCAATGGTGGGAGTTGAGGGCGACAGCCCTAAACCCTAAAAGGCAGTGGTTTGGGTGGTGGCCTGTGAAAGCTCACAGCGGGCGGGGAGAAAGAACCCAGCACCAATGAAATTGTTGGATTACATTGACAACAGATGCCTTCGCGTGACATGCCGCCCCCCCACACCCCCTGGGTGTGTAGGGGCGCCATTTACACATGGCACTTACTGCCGCTGCGCGGCGAGACGCCCTAAAACCCTAAACCCTAAACCCTATAAACCCTATAAACCCTATAAACCCTATAAACCCTATAAACCCTATAAACCCTATAAACCCTATAAACCCTATAAACCCTATAAACCCTATAAACCCTATAAACCCTATAACCCTATAAACCCTATAAACCCTATAAACCCTATAAACCCTATAAACCCTATAAACCCTATAAACCCTATAAACCCTATAAACCCTATAAACCCTATAAACCCTATAAACCCTAAACCCTAGACCCTAAACCCTACACCCTAAATTCCCACCCGGCCTGCTTAGGCGCCCCCCCCACACCCCTGGGTGTGTAGGGGCGCCATTTACACATGGCACTTACTGCCGCTGCGCGGCGAGACGCCCTAAACCCTAAACCTAAACCCTTAACCCTATAAACCCTGAACCCTATACACCCTAACCCCTAAACCCTAAACCCTATAAACCCTAAACCCTATAAACCCTAAACGCTGTAAACCCAAAACCCTATAAACCCTAAACCCTACACAGCTGGGGGAGTTTGGGGTCGTAAGGCGCTTTGCAGGACTTCAGGCGAGTTCAGAAAATCTTGGGTTTGGGGGGCTCTGCAGTGTTCTTCTAAATCCCACAAGCCCTACATCGACCCTATAAACCCTTCAGCCTGAACAAACCTCAGCTGACCTACCACCTGAACAAGCCAGCACGGAAGCCCTACGCCCGCAGAAAGGAGCGCTAAAACGCGCGACGTCCGCCAAGGTCTGTTCGCTGCTCCCCCGGCGCCGTGCTGGCTCCGAGGGGCAGGATGCGTGGTCCAAAATTCAGTGCCAGTTTTCTACATGGGGGTTTCCGAAAATGGGGGTACCCTTTTTTGGGGGGGTTCTTTCAAGGGGATTCTATTGAATTGGGGTATAAAAGGGGTACCCCTATTTTGGGAAATGCCCACATTGTTTACATACCCCCGATCCCATGCCCTTAATTCCGGCTGGGAGCTTTGTAGGTCATCGAAGTCTTTTGTCGGAAGATCCCGACCTGCGGGGTTTTTTGGACAGGTCGATAAACCCTGAACCCTAAACCCTAAACCCTAAAACCCTAAACCTTAAACCCTAAACCAGAGGGGGTTGAGGGTTCGTAGTAGGACTTTGTAGTCTTTCTCTTGCCGCAGGATTGGTAGACTTTTGGAGGTTGAGGGATTTTCGGGTGTCGCAGGCCCCTTGAGCTTGCAAGGGTGGGGTGGGTTCGCTCCAAAGTGCCTCTAAACCCCTTTGCTTGGTCGCACCCTTTTGCCCCTTTTTTGGTTCTGGGTTCCCTTGTCAAGTACCCAACCCCAAAAGGGTACCGGGTACCTTATTAGAATGCGGTTCCTGGGCGACGAAGCCTAGAAGCCCCAAACCCCGAAACCCGAAACCCTAAACTCCGATCATAGGGGTCCTTCTGATAAGGGAATCATACTCTTGGGCGGTCTATTTTAAGGGGTCCCCAATTTTCGTAAACCTTCCTTTGGTTACTGGGCTACCCAGTTTGCCACATCAGAAAGGAGGAGCGTAGCCGCGCTTTCCGGCGGCGCGTGAAGAACGAGCTCTCCGGCGGGGGGCCCAAGGTCGGTTTGTATAGGGCTTGGGGTCTATGAGCTATAGGCGTTTTTTTTTTTGGGGGGGGGGGTCATAGTTTTATTGTGTCTATTTTTTTTTTTTTTTTTTGGGGGGGGGGGGGGGGGGGGTTTAGGAGTTATAGAGAAACATAGAGAGTTTGGGTTGTGAAAGCACCCCAGATTCAACGGGTTTCTAAGGTTTTTTTGGGGGGAGTCTGGGGGCTCTGCCGGTTGCTCCCGAGGGCTAAGACAGCGCCTTCACGCCCAAAACCCTAAAATCATGTGAGACCCGCAACCCTGGGCCCCGAAACATTTAGGGTTTCCTAAATTTCCTAAATCCTCAAACCCAAACCCCAAACCCCAAACCCCAAACCCCAAACCCCAAACCCCAAACCTAAACCCTAAACCCTCCCCAAGGTGGGGCCCAGGCCGCCCTGCGTGGCGCCCAGGCGGCGCTGCGGGAAGCGGGCGCCAAAGGCGCCGAAGCTTTCGTGGCCGAGGCGCCTGCTCTTCTGGCTGCGGTTTGGGGTTTAGGGTTTAGGGTTTTGGGTTTAGGGTTTAGGGTTTAGGGTTCAGGGTTGAGAGGGAATCAGGGAATGAGGTACCCTGTATCATCCCTTAAAAGGTAAATATAGGGCCCTAATCCCCTCATTCCCTACTAAGAACGGGGGTCTTATGATGCTTCTGACCCTCTTCAACACGATAAACCCTTTTAAGTTGGGATGTTCCCCCTTATACTGACCAGTCCTTAATAGGGATGGTAGTACAATCCCTATTCAGGACTGTTAGTATAAGGGGGCACATCCCAACCTTCTGAGCCCAATTCAACCCCCAAAACGCAAGCTTTTGAAACTCCCGAAGGTTTACCCTAAACCCTAAACCCTAAACCCTAAACCCTAAACCGTAAACCCTAAACCCTAAACCCTAAACCCTAGACCCTAAACCCTAGACCCTTTTTTGAAGCTCCCGAAGGTCTGGGCCGCCTTGCAGCCAGAGCCGCTCCTTGGCCAGCCTGCAAAAGGGTGGAAACCCTAAGGCACTTGAGCTCTCTATAATCCTAAACCCTATCCGAAACATCCCTAAGACCCAGTATGAGCCTGTAAGTCTAGACCCGAAACACCCCATAACGTGCCCAGGGCCTCGGGCCCTAAACCCTAGACCCTAGACTCCCTAGACCCCAAACCCTAAACCCTAAACCCTAAACCCTAAACCCTAAACCCTAAACCCTAAACCCTAAACCCTAAACCCTAAACCCTAAACCCTCAGGTGTTGCGAAGAGATGATGGTGGAGGTCGTCTGTTCGCAGACCGACTCGGACATCCAGAGGGCCCTTCGGAGTGTGTTCCTTTGGTCTCAAAATGAGGAACTGGGTTAGGAGTTTAGGGTTTAGGGTTCAGGGTTTAGAGTTTGGGGTTTAGGGTTTAGGGTTCAGGGTTTAGAGTTTGGGGTTTGGGGTTTGGGGCTTGGGGTTTGGGGTTTGGGGTTTGTTGTTCCCTGGGTTTAGGGTTTGGGGTTTGGGGTTTGGGGTTTAGGGTTTAGGGTTTGGGGTTTACGATTTAGGGTTTGGGGTTTAGGGTTTAGGGTTTGGGGTTTAGGGTTTCGGGTTTAGGGTTTGGGGTTGACCCCCATATTGCTGCACTGGAGCGGTGCAAACAGTTGTGATGTCGTCATGAGCAACAAGTGCAGCAGGAGCCATTGAACCAACTGTCGATCGTCGACTCCTTTCGGGCTTTAGCCCAAATGACAACCTAAACCCTAAACCCTAAACCCTAAACCCTAAACCCTAAACCCTAAACCCTAAACCCTAAACCCTAAACCCTAAACCCTAAACCCTAAACCCTAAACCGATGATGATTGCTTCTCTTGCTTCCCGCCCTTCCCGTCCCACAGGGGGCATTCTTCGATGCGTATCTGAGCTCGCGGAGGTCAGCCAAGCACATTTTTTGGCTTGATCTCTAAAGCACTGCGACGGCATTCAGATGCCTCAGGGTCAAGGGCGACAGCGAGCATGACAGCAATTAGGGTGTTATGCATGCGGTCTTGCGGACTTTCTGGAAGAAGCGCCTCGGACACAAAGGCAAACCCTAAACCCTAAACCCTAAACCCTAAACCCTAAACCCTAAACTATGTAGGACTGTGAATTCACTGGCCAGGGCTTTGACGCTGAAGGCGTCTGGCACTATCGAAGATCGTACGCGCATCTCCGAACTCGTTAACCGGGGAACCATAGGTTTAGGGTTTAAGGTTTCCTGCGTTTGGGTTTAGGTGTTTTTTGGGGATGTGGGTTCAGGTTGAGGGTGGGTTCCTGGTTTGGGGCTGCCGGGTATGTGGGGTTAGGTTGAGGGTTGAGGGCTGCAGGACCTGAAATCACTCGAGCGACATACACTTCCAGTTAAGGGTGGGCGAGGGGGCAGGCAGCGTGTTTGGGGCCCCTAAACCCTAAACCCTAAACCCTAAACCCTGAACCCTAAATCCTAAACCCTAAACCCCAAGCCCCAGAGCACTCAGAAGGTTCGCCTGCGCACAGGATCCGCGGGGCCAAACACCCGCACGCGAGCGGCCGGAGAAGCTCGGGCGCAGACCTGTCGCTGCTACCAGAGGCCTGGGGCTGGACTCTTCCATGGGCTTATGGGGACTCGTTGGAGATGCTTAAGGCTCAGGGTTTAGGGTTTAGGGTTTAGGGTTTAGGGTTTAGGGTTTAGGGTTTAGGGTTTAGGGTTTAGGGTTTAGGGTTTAGGGTTTAGGGTTACTATACGAAACGAAGACGTAAACGCCTACTTCCTAAACCCTAAAGCCCTAAACGCGAAGAGGCCTTCAGCTGGCATGACCCGCGGCTGAAATATACGAGATGTGCATAGGGCTCCTGACTTCCCGAACCTTCAAACAATCCACAAAAGCCCATGAATTTCCTCGACTCCTCCCGAAAAGCCCTGGAAATCCGGGAATTCTATCATAAGCCCTCAACCCGCTCGGCCTAACCCCAAAACCCTAAACCCTAGCCCTAAACCCTAGCCCTAAACCCTAAACCCGAACCCCTAAAGCCCAAACCCCCAGGCCTACCTTCTTCAAGTGCTCTTCCTCCTGGGCTCTGCGGCCGACTTGGCCGCCTTTGGCAGCACCAGCCCTGCGATGCAGGACCTCGCGGAGCAAGACGCGCGTCTGGGCTTGCAGGGAGCATGGGACTTCAGGGTGGGGTTTAGGGTTTAGTGTTTAGGGTTTAGGGTTATTTTTTTGGGGTTTAGGGTTCAGATTTTTTCAGGGCATAAGGGTTTGCTCTCAAGAGCTTACGGGCTTTACGCCGAGAAAGAGAGAGAGCTTAAGGAGTCTCCATGTGGGGGCCCTAAACCCTAAACCCTAAACCCTAAACCCTAAACCCTAAACCCTAAACCCTAAACCCTAAACCCTAAACCCTAAACCCTAAACCCTAAACTCTAACCCCTAAACCCTAAACCCTAAACCCTAAACCCTAGACCCTAATCCTTAACCCTGAACCCTACACCCTAAACCCTATTCCTGGCCTTCCCACACCATTGGCAGGCTCTGGCTGGCGCTTTGGCGGACAGCGCCAGTCCTGGAGGACTATAGCCAGGGCAGCTACAGGGTTTAGGGGCTCTTAGGTGGTGGTTGGGACTTGCAGGGTTTGGGGCAGGGTTTCGGGGTGTGGGTGCAAGCTGTCCGGTCCAGGCGTCGGGTAGTTGGAACGTCTTGGGGCTAAGTTTCTGGCATTGAGGCAGGGTTTGGAGCTCCGCTACATTGAGAGCTGGTCTGGGTTCGAAGCCACAGTCTTCACCCTGATCCTCTAGCCCCACATGTGCACCCTAAACCCTAAACCTCAAACCCTAAACCCTAAACCCTAAGCCTCGTGGACCCTAAACCCCAACCCCTGAAGGAGCCCGGCGGCGCTCGCCGGCAATATCTCCTCCACTTGGCTGCGCAGTGCGCAGCTCTCGCTTGAAAACGGCTTGTTGTGCGGATACTGTTCACAACAAGGTTTTAGGGTTTAGGGTTTAGGGCAAGTCGGGCCCAAGGGCTTGTAGAGAACACCAGGGTGGGGGACTCCCCCGCCCCAGGGCCCAGGGTTCAGGGTTCAGGGTTCAGGTTTTAGGGTTTAGGGCTTTGGGTTCGGGGGCTTTGGGTTTTCTGGTGCTTGAAAGAGCTTGCCGTTTGGGCTTCGGTTTGGGGCGTTTGGTGTTTGCTCCTCGGTCGGACTATGGGGACCCTTAAGAGGGAACCCTTCTCAACCCTCTTCTGGCTCTCTTAAAAGAGACCTTATTGAGAGGGTCTATATTCCCAAGGGTCCACCTAATCCTATCCCCTATTTGCGGTCTTCCAACAAGAGTGTCTACACTTCCCCTCCAACCCCATTAAACCCTCAACTCCAAACTCGGAACCCTATAAGTATACCCCGAAGCCTCAGCCCGAAAGCCCTAAACCGTAAAGCCCCAAAGACAACAACTTTAGGGTTTAGGGGGGTTTAGGGTTTAGGGTTTAGGGTTTAGGGTTAGGGTTTAGGGTTTAGGGTTTAGGGTTCAGGGTTCAGGGTTCAGGGCTTAGGGTAAAACCCAACACTCCGGAACCCTCCTGACGGTTGAAGCGCCCAGGTAGAGTGCGGCGGCCACACGGACTTCGAGCACGCCATCCTCGGCTGCAGGCTCTGTGAGGCCCCCTTGTTTGGGGGCTCTCCGTGGAAGGGTTTAGGGTTTAGGGTTTAGGGTTTAGGGTTTAGGGTTTAGGGTTTAGGGTTTAGGGTTTAGGGTTTAGGGTTTAGGGTTTAGGGTTTAGGGCTCAGGGCTCAGGGCTCAGGGTTTGAGAGTACGGTATTCATTTGTCCCAGCAGACTACCAAACCTTATCACTTGTCATAGGAGCGCCCGAAGAAGCGAAGGGTTCACAAGTTGATAACCCTAAACCTCCCCTAAACCCTAAACCCTAAACCCTAAACCCTAAACCCTAAACCTTAAACCCTAAACCCTAAACCCTAAACCCTAAACCCTAAACCCTAAACCCTAAACCCTAAACTTCCACACTTCCAAAGGCTTGCGAGCGGGCTCACTCCAAATATGCGCTCATCCGCAGCCACACGGCCGTGAAAGAGTGTCCAGGCTCAAGTAATCCGCATCGGCTTTGCTGGACACAGGCGGTTTAGGGTTTAGGGTTTAGGGTTTAGGGTTTAGAGTTTAGGGTTCAGGGTTTAGGGTTTAGGGGTTCAGGGCTCCTATAACTCCCTAAGCCAAACAACAATCCCGAACACCCCCCGAAAGCAAAAACCTGAACCTTGAACCCAACAGCACATCTCTGTCCTTAAGCCCCAAACCTTGAACCCGAAGCCCCATACACCCAAAAGCCTTCAATCCTACACCAATTAATCTGTACTTATGACTGTACTTAAAACCATATTCGGGGCACTTAAGGGGCTTGTAAGTGGGTTAGAGGTACAGATATACTTGGTTAATCAGTACCATGCACCTTCAAGTGCAGGTACCAGCTACCCCTGTCTGCCATGAACACCCTACCGCACATGGACGGAGTCACTGGTCGGGTGTATCTGCGGGCCTCCGTGGCCTCTTTGGCGGACAGGCCGGGGTTTAGGGTTTACCGAAACATTGGGATGGTCCCCCTTAAACTAGTCGGTACAAGGGATTATTTTAGGGTTTGGGGTTTAGGGAGTAGGGTGTGCGGTTTAGGGTTTTTAGGGATTGTCATCGCGGGGGGGGGGGGGGGGTACTGTAATCCCCCCATTAAGATAAGGGGGAACATCCCAACTCACAAGCATGAACCCCAAACCCTAAACCCTGTCCCTAAACCCTAAACCCTAAACCCTAAACCCTAAACCCTAAACCCTAAACCCTAGACCCTAGACCCTGAACCCTATTCAGCCGCTTTTGTTGAGTACATTGGTCTGCCCGCAGCTTGAGATTTAAGGGTTTAGGCCTTGGGGCTTTCGGCCCTGGAGCCCGTGCCTGAACGCTGAAGGTCGCTGTAAGGGTTTAGGGTTTAGGGTTTAGGGTTCAGGGTTTAGGGTTTAGGGTTTAGGGTTCGAGTAGGTAGAACCTTAAACCCTAAGCCCTAAGCCCTAAGCCCTAAGCCCTAAGCCCTAAGCCCTAAGCCCTAAGACCTAAGCCCTAAGCCCTAAGCCCTAAGCCCTAAGCCCTAAGCCCTAAGCCCTAAGCCCTAAGCCCTAAGCCCTAAACCCTAAACCCTAAACCCTAAACACTAACCCAAAGCCCGAAGCCCTAAGCCCGAAAGTAGGAAGCCCGAGGCAGCTGCAAGGTTGGCCCCAAAAGTCCTTAAACAACTTGCTAGGGTTTAGGGTTTAGGGTTTAGGGTTTAGGGTTTAGGGTTTAGGGTTTAGGGTTTAGGGTTCAGGGTTTAGGGTTTAGGGTTTAGGGCTCAGGGTTTCGGCAGGAGAGCTAATTGCATGGACCCTAGGGTTTAGGGTTTAGGGTTTAGGGTTTTAGGGTTTTAGGGTTTTAGGGTTTTAGGGTTTTAGGGTTTTAGGGTTTAGGGTAGAGGGGGCTTTGGAGATTTTCTCGGGCTGAAGGAGGGAGCAGCACCCATACATTACCCAGCACTGTTGCTGTGAAAGGCTCTGAGAGGCCTAAGACTCTTGTGCTACTCTTGCCAACACCCTAAACCCTAAACCCTAAACCCTAAACCCTAAACCCTAAACCCTAAACCCTAAACCCTAAACCCTAAACCCTAAACCCTAAACCCTAAACCCTAGACCCTAAACCCTAAACCCTAAACCCTAAACCCTAAACCCTAAACCCTAAACCCTAAACCCCAACAGCTCTTGACAAGAAATGGCAGGGCTTGCAGGCGTTGCTAGGGCGTTGCTAGGCCCCAGGATGTTTTCGAGAGGTTTGGGGGGTTTAGGACAGTTTCAGGGGTTAGGGGGGGGATTAGGGGGGGTTCAGGGAGGGCTTAGGGGATTGTTAGGGGGTTTACGTATGTTTAGGTGTAGGTTTTCGGTCCAGATGTAATCTGCGTTTTGCATTTGGGGTAAAGGGAGGCCGCACCCCTCTAGTGCAGGGGGATTCAGGGTTTAGGGCTCCGGCCGTAAACGCCCAAACCCTGAGATCCAAAGCTCCAAGCGCCCTAAACCCTGAACCCTAAACCCCAACCCTGAATTTCAGGCCTAGCGGCACGGGCCGGCCCCCGCCCCCCAAAGCACGAAACCTTGAACCTTGGCACTGTCTTCTCTTTCCCGTGTCTTTGTCCTCTCCTTCTCTCTGTCTCTCTTTCTCCTGCCTTCGCCCCCCCTCCCTCCCCCCCCCCCCCCGCGCGCGCGCGCGCGCGCGCACCCGCATCAGGAGCATCAGTGGGGTTGGTTTGGGGGCCTTAAAAGCATTCTATGCATGCGTTTTGCCTTCGAAAAACCTTCAGAAAACGCTGTAAACACGTGTTTTTGGGCTTGGGAAGCCTTTTGGGACCCAGGAAAGGGAGCATCATGAGCATCAGCGGCCTCCCCCAGGCCATCCAAAACCCCCTTAAACACGCCGATTGTATGTGCTTGAACGCTTGCGTGCCCACGAAACCCCCAAAAGCAAGACCCCGAATGCCCTTAAGGGCATTCGGGGTCCTGCTGTTCGGGTGTTTTGTAGGCACGAAGCCGTTCGAGCGCGTAAAATGAGCGATTTTAGGGGCGTTTTTACGTGGACCCACAAAACACTCGGTATTTACGAGGTTTTCTGCTGTTGGAACACCCCCCCAAACCGAGCATCATGAGCATCAGCTGGGTCTCTGGGCCGTGGGCCCGGACCCCCCCACGAAGCCCAAGAGAAGCGATGGCTCGATGATGCGCCCGGACCCCGCGCATCAGCAGCATCAGCAGACCCC